TCTACGTTTCAGGACCCTGTGCGTCTTGAACAAGCTCTGCCAAAACGAAGAGTCTATTTTCCAGTTCTATAACTGCAGAATCAGTGATAAAAACAAACAGGGCTAAGCTCTAGTAAAAACTCTTTCTTCTTTTCAGAATTGGCTATGTCAAATGGAGCCATGTCAATGATTGGTAGCGCCTCCTTATCAACTGTGTTGATCTCTAAAATTGTCTCATGCCACTCATCGTTTAGTTCCTGTTGAATATGATTTGAACAAACCTTGAATTAGTGATGTTAAGTCAATAGATTAGTAAATTCACCGGCCAATCGATAGATCAATCATTCTATCAATTGGTTGGTCAGTTAGTTATTCAATCAGTTAGGCGGTCGGTCAAATAGTCACACAGTCACATTAGTCCAGAATTATTTCGTCAGTCAGACAGTCAGCTAGTCAAAGAGTCATTAAAAAGTTCATAGATTTATTCAGTCAATGAATACGTCAGTCAATAAGTCAGTCAGTCAGTCATTAGCTCAGTCATTAGGTCAGTCATATAATTTTTCGGTCATTCAGAGTTTTCCTTTGTTTCACGCTCGCGACAAGACGACTAACATCTTTATTTCGTAAGGGGAATATAAAAAACTTGAGGATGAGAGACGAAATCCAAATAGATGGCTGTTGTCGAAAATCCTTTCTAAAATATTGTACGTATTGTTTGTTTTTACCTTGCATCCATTCTTTAGGACAACAGGCTTAATTCGGTCATTACCCGTAAGCTCCATTTCATTTACACCTTGCAGCTTAATTGTTCGACCTCCGTCATCGTCCCAGGCGCGTGAGTTATAACAAAGATAGGTAATATTCTGCGACACACGCCTGCTTAGAAGTCTCAAGAATCTCATTTGGACCGGAACCATGCTGTAACCCATCTGAAATTATAGAAGAAATCCGACTGTGAAGATCCTTGTCAGGATTTTCAATAAAAGCCAGTTACGGGCGGTCTACCGCTGACCGTAGCACCTCTCACCGTCGTCAGTTTAGCCTGTAAAGAGGCTCTGGTGTTTGGGTTTCGCCTTACAGCACAGTCGCTGATGGCACCATCATTAGACGCTTATAAGAAAAATGATTAAAAACCTCTTCTCCGATAAACTATTTGGAGTTTTTCAAAAGACTATAAACACCACCAACAAAATCATTGACCTTATACTTACAAGTTCTAAGTCGCTAGTTGCTTCGCTTATCCACTGGAATGGTTTTGCATCCGGGGCTGTAATCTGCAATGAAATTGTTCTTGATAATTTCAAGCCCCCCCAAAAAAGTGTCCAGAAGCGTAGCTAGAATTTCTTAGGGGGAGGAGGGTGTGGTCATAGTAACGAACCTCAGCACGGCGAAAAAAAAACGGTCAAGTGCAGTTTTTAGGACAAAAAGCGATCTATGCTGTAAGGATCATTCGGATCCACGCACTTAGCGCAATCCTTCATAATAAGGTTTGTATTTTGTCGACTTAACGAAAATATTTACTCACTAAGTGTGCGGGGATGGTTATAGGTCACCCAAAGACCCCTCTCCTCCTAGAGCTAAACCCCTGATGATATGCTGGCTTATGAAGAGTCTTTTGAGTCAAGTGGCCATTTATCGCCATCTCTTCCCCCTCCCGGATGCAATGCTTGTCCAAGGCAGCTTATCTATACCCCGCTTCATTTATACTCTACACCCCAGGTAGCAAAGCGGACAACGTATTTTGCTCGAGAACACAACACAATGACCCAGCCGGAAATTGCACCCAAAACTTCGGAAGCGGAGTCCACACCACAGCCCCTGGGCCACCTCGCTTCCCAAGAACAAGAAGAACAAATAATTACACCAGACCTGTTTGTTCTTTGGATAAACACAGGAAGCTCCTCGTTCAAAGTCGCAGTAAACATATTCTGCATCACTGGAGCATCCTTCGTTGGGATCTATCCAGTACTCACCTGAAGAGAAATTGAAAAAAAAATGAAAATAAAGGAAAGGAAAGAAAAAAGAAAAGGAATGATTCTTGTCACTTCTGTCTCTGAGCAGGATTTGATTCATGTCTTACATGTTTTGCCAGAGCTGAAGGGTGGTCCCCTCAGAAATGGATAGTCTTTATTATCAATGTAATTAAGGATTTTCCCCATAACAACGGTTCGCTCTCAAAGAAACCATTAGCAATGCTCACACGGACTGTAAGATAATTTCCATATGTGTGTTCGTATCTACTCACCACTGGGATAATCAGGATGTTCAAGGTTGAGTTCCCTACAAGATCGCGCAGGATGTGTCCTGGTGCCATTTTGTGATTTATAGAAATAAATAACACTGCTGAGACCCCTAAGATAATATTCTGTAGTACCAGCATGTTCCTGCTAAAAAAGAAAATCAACAACAACAGTATCACCAACACCTGTGACAGCTGCACTAAAACAAAAGCTTAAAAATAGATGAATCAACGTCTGCATGAACCAATGAACACATTTAGCACAAGATTATGTTCTTAACCCTTTGACTCCAAGGAGTGACTAACATCTAATTCCTCCACACAATTTCACTTCTGAATCAAACATTATGGTCACAAAAAAAGATGAAATATAATCAACGAAACAAAGTCTTGATTGTTTTCAAGCAAATTTTCTTCATCAGCACTTTAGGAAATGTATGGAGAACGGTACAGAGCAAACGCTTACTGATGTAAGGATGCAGGGAGAATTTGTTTCACAATGAAGAAGTCCTTATGTTGGTGATCATTCCCTATATTCTCGAGACCTTAATGTGTGACTCAGGGGTGATAATGTAAGGAGAACTAAGATGCGAGTCACTCGTAAGGGTTAAAGGGCTAATGTGTCCATAATTTGTGTTTGTAATACTCATTAACTGCTGCAGCTACAGTGCTTCATAATAGACCCTACCTCTTGTGTTGAGTACAGTCTAAATCCTGGACCTTTATTTTGTTGGGTCTGATGTGAGTGCGTCTAAAAGTAACCAAAATATATTTAATGTAAACAAGGATAAAAAATAAAAGAGAAGAAACAGGATAACATCATTATTTCTTACCCAACCAAGAGGTATTTTTCCAGGAAGTCCCTGCATGAAAGAAAATCAAATCGAGGTAGTCAGCTGATCGTAAAGTGCGATCGTGTAGTGTGATCGTGTAGTGTGATCGTAACAGAGAGAGAAGTCCAAAAAATTGCTGTTGCCGGTGAAAAAGACTGAAATTTCAACAACATGGGCAGAAATTGTCACTTGAATATTCCTTTCGTTTCCTGCACCTTAAGGTAAATCGGCAAGAAAAAGGCACCAGCTGGTTGACTTAGGATTATCTGATTCTTTTTGCATCATATGTATGAGCAAAGTGTAAATTGCAATTCTTCGAGCTTCGACATTATTATTTCTTCCGTTGTAATTCAATTTTGGCAGTCGAAGGCTATTCCTGATTCGGGGCACGCATGATGCGTCTTCACTAATTGCAAGCGGGCGAAAACACGTTAAGGATGGTAAAGGCTGATATGTACAGCAAGATGAACAATAGATGGAATAAATTGCGTCAAACCTGTTCTCCTGGTGGGCCAGGTGGTCCGGGGGGTCCCTAGGGTGAAATAGTAAAATAACATGGACATTTATGT